ATAATAAAACTAAAAATAGAAGATATGAAAAAGTAGAGTGGGAATGTGGATTAAAAGTTGTTAAACAATATCTTAATAAAAAATTTTACTTTTATATATATGGAGCTAGCACTTTAATATAAAAATTTAACATGGTTGAAAGATTTTGCTAAAGAAAGGGATATGGGATATATTCTAAACTTGGAAAAAATATTATTTAATAAAGTTTCCTAGTGATAAGCTTCAAAGAGTAATATTTGCTAGGAAATATAAGTTTCATAAAGATTTAATCGCTAAACCGAATAAACTTAGGCAGAGGGAAATAAAATGGAAAATAAAAGAAACCATTTATAAAAATTAAATTATTCAAGAAATAGAAACAGCTTACAAAGGACGATTGAAAACTTATTTAATAAACAATGTTAATAATTATATTGATGTACAAGAATTTTAATTTAATATGGAAAATATTTTTCTTCCTAAAACTTATGAGATAAGACAAGAAAAGGATTTAAAAGTTAACGTTCAATTGTTTTGTGCTTATCAAAGGCAAGAAGCAGAAGAAGTAATTCCATTCAAAACTAACAGTGGTTCATCATGGGATGAATGTGAAAAATGACTGATATTTAGTTAGAATTATTGACTAAATATAATATGCTCTCAATGCTTGAAAAAGGTATTCGTGGAGGTATATCGCAGTGTTGTAATAGATATAGCAAGTCTAATAATAAAAATAAAGAAATATTATGATCGTAACAACGAAAGTATATATTTAGCTTATCTAGATGATAGTAACCTATACTGAGGGTAGTGAGTCATTATTTGCCTTATGGAGGATTTAAATGAAGTGATACAAATATTGATGTAATGGAAGTATACGATGATTTTAAAATAGGATATATTTTAGAAGTAGATTTAAAATATCCAAAAGAACTTCATGACTACGGATATACCAGAAAAACAACTTTACATGATAAGAGTAATTACGTGCTTCACAATAGAAATATGAAACAAAAAAAGACAACTTTACATGATAAGAATAATTACGTGCTTCACAATATAAATCTGAAACAAAAAAAGACAACTTTACATGATAAGAATAATTACGTGCTTCACAATAGAAATCTGAAACAATATTTGTCATTAGGAACGTAACTAAAAAAAATTCATTGAGCATTAGAGTTCAAGCAATCTGATTGGCTTAAAAAATGTATTCATCTAAGAAAACAAATGGAAAATAGAGCTACTCATAATTTTGAAAATGATTTTTATAAATTGTTAAAGAATTTTCCATTTGGAAAGACTGTGGAAAATATTAGAAAAAGAGTTGATATAAGAATGTGTTCTGATCCAAACAAAGTTAAAACATTAATAGCTAAACTAAACTTCAAGTATAGAACAATATTTACAGAAACGTTATCCACTATTCATATCAATAAAACAAAAATAAAATTCAATAAACCAATTTATGTTGGTAAGAGCATTCTAGATCTTTCGATGTGTGATTTCCACTATGAATTATTGAAACCAAAATATGGCGATGACTTAAAATTATCATACCAAGATACTGATTCTTATATTCATTAAATAAAAACAGATGACTTCTATAATGATATAAAATAAAATATTTATTGATTTGGTACTTCAGACTATCCAATAGACAATTCTTGTGGTATTCCTTTAGTAAATAAAAAATGTTTGGGTAAAATAAAACATGAGAATAATGGAAATATAATGCCTGAACTTACAGGACTTAGATCTAAATGTATGCTTTAAAAATGCAAGATGATAAAATCTGTAAGAAGATTAAAAGTGTAAGGAAATGTGTTGTTAAAAATAGAATTACATTTGAGGAATATAAAGATCGTTTATTTGATCAGATAGAAGTATAAAAAAACCATGAATCTAATAAGAAGTAAAAAAGCTTGAAATATATTCTATTTAAGTTAATAAGAAAGCTTTAAGCTCGAATGATGATAAAAGATATATATTAAAGAATGTATTAATACTTTAGCATTAGACCATTTTTTTCTCGAATATAAACGGAACCAGTAAATAAATTTAACATTATTGGTACACTTTAATATAATATTCAAACTTGTAAGCTGAGTGAGCTAGATGATGGTGCTAAATACTCATCTCTCAATCAAAAATAATTGAAACTCGGTTTGATAATATAATTGTAGCTGAGCTAATTGATGAAAACTGGGACGAATTCCAAATATTTTTTCTTGTCAAATTTAGTAAAAAAATAACCGAGGAAAATATTGAGGATATGAATAAACAGAAAGATCTAGCTTTTGTATACCAAGGAATGAAAGATCGCGGAAATAATAAAATAAGTCATGTCATTGAATTTAGGTCCTCAAAATAAACGAAAATTGTTTTTAAACTATTATAGTTCTGTAGGATCCTGTTTACCACATATATTCGATGTTATTATTATAATAGTGTATTGTTGTAGCATGGTTGTAGTATATATATATAGTTACCTGAAGGGAATTAAACCATTTTTCGCTTTCCGCGTTAGTGGAAAGGGAAAACCTGGATTGATGCTCTGTAAGTGGGGCAGAAACCCTATTCTTCTGATGAGGAGGCAAAATTAGATAGGGCAACGAAAACGATTTTTTAAAGATTGTTCAATGTTTTTGGTTATTTTTGATGATTTTTATGTTTTTTGTTGTTTTTTTTACCTCTAAGTGGGGCAAAAACCCCATGTTACATACTACTTTGACGTCAATGTGCACGAAACTTGGTATGCAATGCTCCGAGGCATCTAAGTGTGACGGTGATTGTAAAAATTCGTAAATAGAAGACGACGAAGTCAATTTTAATTCTGACTCTCAGTTTGACTAGATGATTTCGATAATAAAATAGGACGCGATTAGATTATCCCTAGAAACTATTATTATTGAGAAATTCTTATAGTTTATAGTCAATGTGCAACTTCAAGTTCAAGTTGTGTTCCTTTAGGGAGGCCTTCCACATAAACTTTCCTTATACCAGAGAGCCTAATTTCAGTTTGACAGTTATTCAATTAATGTTGTACATCTACTCAAATCAGCCAATCTTAAAGAATAACTCACACAATATACATAGAATATTCCTGTCGTTGTGTTGGCTAAGCTTGTTAGGTAGATGGGTGTAATCTAATTTAACAACGGCGTTCCGAAGATTAGCCCCCCTGAATTTCCCTGATCACCTACACAGGAGAAGTATGTACCAAATGTGACCCCCCTGAATTCCCCTGATCACCTACACAGGAGAAGCATACACCAAACGTGGCCCCCTGAATTTCCCTGATCATCTACACAGGAGAAGCATGTACCAAATGTGACCCCCCTGAATTCCCCTGATCACCTACACAGGAGAAGCATGTACCAAATGTGACCCCCTGGATTTCCCTGATCACCTACACAGGAGAAGCATGTACCAAACGTGACCCCCCTGAATTTCCCTGATCACCCCAATTTTAGTATTCCCACCCGTTTCGAGTTCAGTAATGATATGTCGACCAATATCTTTACCATTTTCCTTCTCAGCTCTTGCAGTAAAAGGAGCTAATTTCTAGAGCCATTGTTCATCATAGGTTCCCTAATATTAGCTTCAATACACATTTCTTAAGAGAGATAAGTGAGCGTGATCTCTAAAAAAAAAAAAGATAAATTTAAGATTCCCGTGTAACTAGAGAAAGAACAGTTTTGTAAATTTAGCAGCAAATTTGCCTATTATTCTCATTAACCTTTTGCATACTAGCTGTTGGAGTGGCATCTTACCCGGAGTGGGAAAGTTTGTAGTCATTTCTGTGATATGCAGTTATCAAACATCAACACTTTATGACGACACACACACAGTAAACATATTACATATCACACATCCAACATCCTTTGTACTAAGTGTCTATGATTGACTTCTTTCTGTCTAAAGAGCCAACTTCTGTTTATCAAACTATTTATTTATTTAAATTAAACTGATTACTTCAAATAATTAAATATTAATCAAATCGGGAGCCATAATGCATTCATTTATATGTATTTTGGTCATAACATATACAGATTAAATGTTTTATTTATGTAATGTCTTAACTTTATGTGCTGTTTAATTTATGGCAATTAGAAGCAAAGAGTATAAGGAAATATCACAGAAACTTTGAATATTTTTATATATTAATGAAGTTTCTTTGAACTAGATATGTTTTTTTATTTTGAGTATTATAAAATGGTGAAGTTAATTTTTAATAATTTTTATTTTTATGTTTATTTATTTGTTTTGAATTTCGCGCAAAGCTACACGAGGGCTATCTGCGCTC